GTTGTATTGTAAAGAAGATGGGTAAGTATAGATCTGGGCCCTGAACTGTCTGAATGATGCACCATTCTAACCAAATTCCTTCATGTTCTTCTCTTTTTCATGTTGATCTGCTGCCTCTGATGCTGTGTCCATCTGATCTGCTCTCGCTCTTACTCTGGTCCATTGCTGTGACTCAATAAAGGTAAGAAACTTTTCCTTTTGAAAAGCTTTAAGACCACAGTCAGGAATTACTTTACTGGTACTGCAAAAACTAAGGTGTCTGTACATACTGTACATGCTGTATCAATCCTTTGGTGATTACTAGATTACTGATTTAGATCGATTTACACCATTGATTGATTTTACATGATGGTTTGTGCATTATAAAAGTACACTTTTTAAATATACATTTAAAAATTAAAAATTAAAATGCCTTAATAATATAACATTAAATATGACACTTTAGCTGAGGGAGAGCCCACAGTGGTCATTCTGAAACACTGATACTGCTGTGGAAATTAAACAAAGAACATCAAACATGACATCAGCTGCCTTCATGTTTAAGGAATGCTTGCATTCATGTTCCAAATTAGATGTGAGGCTTGTAATTTAATTCAGTGTTGTTGTTTTCATCATTCTAAAACACTACATATCTGTAGTTACCCTGTTTACTTCACTGTTATGTAGAAAATTAACAAAATGGTCAAATTTTATATATTTTACTGAACAAATATTCAAGTATGTACATATGTTTATTCTGAACTTTGCTATGCTGTATTTAACGTATGTGTATGCACTTCACCACACACGTCTTTCAGCAGCTCTCAACTTTTTAGGTTATGTAGGCTGTTTGCATTGATCAGTCCTTTTGCTAATGAGACATAGAATGTCCCTCACTGTATGGGGGATATAGGATGCTGTGTCTGATATTAAGCTACAGTGTTAATAGCAGTGACAGAGTCCAGTCTCGGTTCAGTGTGTTATTCGGCTGTATTGGGAGCAGTGAATGGGTTTAGTGTTAGAGTAAGACATGTGGGGGTTTTGTTTGCTTGGCCAATGACCGCTTCACAAATGTGTCTCTGTGGGAGGAGAGCAGGTCTTTGTGTCTTTATGGCTTTCTTCCGCATGGCTGCGCGCTACATGCAGAGGCGCGTGGTCGCCGCCTGTGTGGCGCTGTTCACCCTCGTGGTGCTGAAACAGGCGTTGTGGCTCCTCTGCAGCGCAACCATCTTAACCCTCATCTCCCTCCCCTCTCTCTTCTGCCTCTCTGACTCCTGTTTCTTCTCAGTCTGCTCGTTCGGGGCACCTTTTTTATAGTTATTTATAAGTATATCCACATGTTCTAGATATATTATTATAAAACATGACAGGTTGTGTGTTGAAGCCCCGGATATGTTGATTCTGGTCAGTTTTACATCCGTGAAGTGCAAATTAGTGATGGAATATTTCATACTTTTTTGTTCAAATGTTGAACTCTAAAGTAGTTATCATTAATAAAAAGCCTTCGTATTGTAAGGAAGTCAAGACTGTACTGGTTCGCACTGGAATAGCGTTACTGCTCAGGAGCGCTCTGTACTGAGCGCTCTGCACTGGACTGAACTGCGGTTTGCGTGTTGTACCACAGGGTGGCACTAACGTGACAATCCGAGTCCAGAAAGTGTTGTGTTCGATTATTATTATTATTATTATTATTATTATTATTATTATTAATGTGTATGTGGGTGCACTGATTATCTTGCTATCATTACTATTACTACTACTAATCATAAGCAATAATGATATACAGTATGTTTAGAATTACAACAACAACAACAACAATAATAATAATAATAATAATAATAATAATAATACTTGTGTGTCATGGCAGTGATCATGGTCTCTTGCTCTAGTTAACAGTATTGCTTGTACTGCTTTGAGGATGAGATGCTCTGTGCACAACAGGCTCACTTGATGACATTAAAATGCATGTGGTGCGTTACTACATTATTTCACCATTTCCCTGGCAGCATCAATATGGCTTTGAGACCACACTTTAGACCACACAATCAAAAAATGAAATGTTGCATTTACTTAAAAATGTTATGTAAAGTGGTTCAGTGCAACTGTGTTAAGTAGCTTCTAAGGTACTTGATTGAGTAATGTGTGCTTAAAGAATTCAAGTAAATCACTCTAAAGTGAGTTCTAATTAACAGGACCAAATACTTTATGTATAACTTCAACAGTTCAACTTAACATGCTGTACTAATTAAAGTAGAAAAGAACACAAAGTTAACAGGTTTAAGTTAGAACTACATAATTTGGTGAAGTTATTACTGTGCTAACTGAGCTGTTTTTGAATTATACTCAGCAGTATAGTTACATGATAACCAACAACAATGTGGCTAGGCAGTTAACCAAGGAGTAAAAGATGCTCACACAATGGAAGGCAGGTTGGGGGGATGATAACATGAAGAGGGAGAGTAAAACAAGTCAAACAATATGCAAATAGATTATGCTAGGAGCCAGTAGGAAAGACGTTGAATTCTACCCAAGATTACATTGACCAAACTAACACTTATGAAGTAAATCTGACAACTCACTAAATTTCATTAAAACAACATGGCTGACTCAGTTTCACAGACTAACATGCATTTGTTAAGTAATATAAATAAGAGAAAGCTGGTTTTAACCAACATCAAAGCAATAATTTTTTAGTGCATGTTCTAATACCTGTGTAAAAAAGATGATGACTTACCCATATATTTGATCCATGTTGTAGTGACATAACTTTTTTTTCTAGTGGACCACAAAAGATCAATACTTTATATACTTCAACCATATGCAAAAGTTTGGACACCCTTGGTCAATTTACATGTTTTATTGATTTTTTTTTTTTTATGAAAATGAAAGTTACACATCCTCTATTGAGAAGACACTCCGGCACACTTTAATGCACAGTTAGTGTTAATTTGCTGAATTTAACATATTGGACAAAAAAAATAAACCCTTGCAAAATTTATGACACATTTAATATGGTATTTTTTAACCAATTTTTTAAACAAATAAAAAGAAAAGGTGCCAGAAAAAACAATAATATTCTTAATATGTGTGTTATACCTATAGTATGCTGGAGGAACTAAATAAGAGACTGTTATTTGGAACACAGCAAAAAATCTGGATACTGGAACAGTAGAATTATACTAACTCATTGTGGATAAGATCTGAGGCTGGTAAGCAGTAGTTCAGTGTGTATTTGGGAAAGGGAGAACTTATGGTGAATAGACAGTGAAACTCTGTGTGGACAAAATGCCTCATGTCTTTTACCTCTACAGGTTCTGATTTAAAATATATAGTTCAGGTCAACGTGATTGACATTGACATTGTTTTGGAGCTTGTTGTGGCTTCATTCGTGACACCTGTGCCTTAAGACTCCACTGTAGAATATAGGTTATAGGTTATAGCTCACATCACCCCTTGTACACTGTGTGTGTCATAGAGAACTTCCCAGCTGCAACAATCTTATGTTCAGTATCTGCCACTGATGCAGACCTGGATGAGAATACAAAGATCTCTCACTCTCTGCAGGATGTGTCTGCTTCTTCTTTTGTGTACATTAACTTGATAAATTTCAGCAATTTAAGTTGTGTAATTTGTAGTAACACTTGTAACAAGCTTGTATAGTACTGCAAAGCCTGGCTTGTTGAGTTCACTCAAATTATTTTATTGACTTGTTTTTCTAAAAAGCAGGCAGTATTTATGTTTAACTCTTGAAATCAAGTTTTATAAAGTAAACTACAAATTGAATAATTACCACATTGAATTCTGCATTGCCCATAAATTATAAGCTTTAGCAAACTTAGTAAAACATATTTCACAGCCCATTAATGAATCCAGTCAGCCTGGTCACTTTATTCTCCCTTTGATGTGTTGTTGTACTTCTGCTGGGAGAGAGAGCTCTTGTATGAAGTTAAAGATGATTATTTGATTTTTCTGTAGCTTATGGCAGTCTGTTCTCTGATATAGTCAATATGTTTGAATTTCTTTAAATAAAAAGCTAGAAGACTGGACAGTAACATTCACTATGAGCGCGCACACACACACACACACACACACACACACACACACACACACACACACACACATCCAGTTTAGCAGAAGGTTTTAAGTAGTTTAAGTTGCCTGATGATGATTATTATTGTTGCTGTTGCTACACAGTATTACAGTATAATATTTTGCAACTTTAAAGATGAATTCTGTTTTGTTTCTACACAATTCACTAATTAAGATGTAAATAAGCTGAAGACATCTGAAGATTTTAATGCCTTTAAAAGCTGCATCACAGAAAACCTTTACATGAAATAGTTACAAATATGTTTCTTGATGCCTGAGACATTATTTCAGGATAGTGAAACACGTTTTTTGGCCTAAAATGTGTTTATTTTATCCATTGATGGCAAAAAGGTATATGCAGGTGACAGAGAGGCAAAATAATGCTCAATGACAGCTCACACTCACTATTTTGCCATTATCAACATTATATAAAACCTTGATTGAATTATACAGATTTTTTTTAATTAGTGAAATTCCCCTTTAACATGGCACCTTATGCAAAAAATACATAGTGTATTAAAACTTGTTTATTTATTGTATTGTTAGCATGTGTTGTTGATAAACGTGTAACTTTTATGTAAACAGTTATACTCACAACACTTCTCTCTCTAGATAGCCTGTACCTTTAAACTAAGCTGTGCTCTCATTGGTGCATACTACAGCGTATGTGCACCAACAGGACTCCTGCTAACTCTGAGTGATCCAGTATCCTCAGCTTCAGCATCAGCTTTTAAAGATGCTGCTCTGCGCACAGAGATGGAGACAAAGACCTTCACGTGTTCGGGCTTGTAGTCTTGCTGGATTCTCTGTTCGGCTTCAGTGCTTTCTGACCGTTTGAGTGTTTATAGGTATGTTCTTGCAGACATGGTGGATTTTGTCACCGTGGGAAAACTTCTATTTCACTGATCGACATGGATAACGGGATGCGAGGCTGTTTAAGTTGTGCGTTGGTTCTCCCGCTGATGTGTGCGTCTCTCTGGTGGGCGACAGTCGACGGGCAGATTCGGTACACCGTAGCAGAGGAGTCCAAAAAGGGCTCGGTCGTGGGGAACCTCGCCAAAGACTTGGGCTTGAGTTTGGCTGACATATCGAGCCGTAAAGTGCGGATCGCCTCCGAGGCTGCTGAGCGCTTCTTCAGCGTGGATCTGGGGAGAGGAGAGCTGGTGGTGGAGGAGAGGATAGACAGAGAGGCTGTGTGCGGGCAGAGCGGCAGCTGCGCGCTTCCGCTAGAGGTGATCGCAGACTCTCCGTGGCAGCTGCACCGGGTGGTCGTGGAAATTCAGGACATAAATGACAACGCCCCGAGTTTCCCCACCAAGGAGATGGTGCTGAAAGTGGCCGAGCACGCCGTGACTGGAACGCGCTTTCCTCTCGAGAGCGCGCAGGATCCAGACGTCGGCAGTAATGCAGTTCGCTCTTACACTTTAAATAACAACGAATATTTTTCTGTCGCTACCAAGACTTTGAAAAATGGTAGGAAGTTGCCAGAGCTTGTTTTAGCAAAACTTCTCGACAGGGAAAAACAATCCACTCATGAATTGCTGTTAACGGCTGTGGATGGGGGAAGCCCTGTTAAATCTGGCACTGCTAAAATCACAGTGCACGTTCTGGATAATAATGATAACGCGCCTCAGTTCACCAAACAGACATATGAGTCTGCCATAAGCGAGAACAGCCCACCGGGGACTGTTATTGTGGAGCTCAAAGCTGTAGATTTAGATGAAGGCTCAAATGGGCAAATCCGCTATTTATTTGGTGAACGTACTGGTGATGACGTATTACATATTTTCGACTTAAATTCAGAAACAGGCTTATTAACACTGAAGGGGTCACTCGATTATGAAGAGGTTTCATCCTATGAAATTGATGTAGTGGCTAAGGATGGGGGCAGTCCTGAAATGGAGGGGCATTGCAGCGTCCAGATAAATCTGATTGACGCCAATGACAACAGACCAGAGATCATTATTAAATCCCTGGCTGATAGAGTACCTGAGGATTCCCCCATTGGTACAGTGGTGGGACTAATAAATGCTCGGGATCTGGATGCAAATGAAAATGGAAAGGTCAGCCTACAGGTAATCAGCAATACACCATTTAAGTTAAAGCCTAGCTTTGAAAACCACTATGAATTAGCTACGACAGCTCGCCTGGACCGCGAGAAAAATGTAAATTATAATGTAGAAATCAGTGCCACAGACTCAGGCGACCCTCCTCTCTCCACTAAGAAAACAGTGGTAATTAATGTTCAAGATGTCAATGATAACCCTCCAGTGTTCTCTCAGCCCTCATACACAGTGTATGTTGAAGAGAACTTCCCAGCTGGAAGAATCATATGTTCAGTATCGGCCTCTGATGCTGACCTGGGTGAGAATGCGAAGATCTCTTACTCCATCTTAGCCTCTAAAGTTCAAGATGTGTCTGTTTCTTCCTATGTGTACATTAACTCAGATAACGGCAGCATCTATAGCATGTACTCGTTTGACTATGAGAACTTGAAGGTGTTTCAGATCCAGGTGCAGGCCAAAGATCATGGCTCTCCATCTCTGAGCAGCAACGCCACAGTTCATGTGTTCATCCTGGACCAGAATGACAACGTCCCTGCTGTTATCTACCCCTCTGTAGCCTCTAACTATAAGATGCCTCGCTCCGCTAAAGCAGGCCACCTGCTTACCAAGGTAACTGCAGTGGATGCAGACTCAGGCCACAACGCCTGGATCTCCTACAAGTTGCTGGAGGCTACAGATGCCTCTCTGTTCAGTGTGAATACTTACACAGGTGAGGTGAGAACTAAACATGCAGTTTCAGAGCATGATGACTCACCCCAGAGGGTTCTCATAGAGATAAAGGATAATGGTGATCCAGTGCGGTCTTCTACCATCACGCTAAACATAGTGTTGGAGGACAGCCTCCATGAACCTGTTTTAGACCTCCAACACAAAGCTCCAGAGCCCATCAGTAGAAACGACCGCATCACATTTTACTTGATCGTTTCTCTGGCCTCTGTGTCTCTGCTGTCTCTGGTGACATTCGTCATCTTAGTGATGAAGTGTGCAAGAAACAGCAGAGGCAGCTGCCTGAGACGGACTGACTCTGACAGCTACAAAAATCCCACTCGAAACCTGCAAATCCAGCTGAACACAGATGGGCCTATAAAGTACGTGGAGGTTCTGGGAGGGGATATGTTGTCCCAGAGCCAGTCCTTCAGGTCATGTCTCTCTCCAATGTCAGAGTTCAGTGATTTTACCCTCATTAAGCCCAGCAGCACTTTTGACTTTAAGGACATGATCAGCGTGCTGGATGCGTCTCTACCGGACAGCACCTGGACCTTTGAGAGTCAGCAGGTGAGCTGAAATGTGCTGTACTGTGATATTGTCAACACCATGCTTCTTGTTGCGTGATATGTGGTATGATTTTTGGACTTAAACAGCATAAAGCCTGTCTTGTTGGGTTTACTCAAGTGTTAAAAGGAAATCAACAGCTTTGAGTCATCGTCGTGACTCTAAATTGTGGCTCACTTTAAGGAAACCTTTTGCTGCATACACGTCATATGCAAAAGTTTGTTGATTTTGTAACAAAATAAGTTAACACATCCTTCTACAAGGAACAGTTTTAAATATTTCCAAATATTCAAATGCACAAGTTCTATTTATTTGTTGTTTAACATACTGGGGAAAACATAAACTCTTATTTGTGCAAAGTGTGACATTTGATGATTTATTTTTTTCCAATATGTTAAATTTAACAAGTGCAGAAGTGTGTTCTCTGTAGAGGATGTATGAACTTATTTTCACTTAGAAAATTAACAACACATGCAATGTGACCAGGGGTGCCCAAACTTTTACATAAGACTATATATGCAGAGGACACTACATATTGAATATTATATAAACTAGTGGTTCTCAAATAGGTCCTTAGGGGGACCTCTAGATGGTCTACATTTTTCTTTTTTCGCTAAGTGTTGCAAGTTGGGTTGGAGCAAAAATGTGGACTGTCTGGGGGTCCCTGATGATGGGTTAAGAACCACTGGTCCAAACACACAGTCTCACATCAAAAATGCCTAAACATAAACTCTACGCATTTAAAAATGTCATCGCTGTGCGTCATTTGAACACAGCAGCTGCCCTTAACATTGTGTAACAATGTAAAGTTTTATCTGGAATAAAATCTCTTTATATTAGCTTACATTAACATTTTTGCCTTGCTCTGTAAAGTTACTATTTTGGAGATTGTTTGTTTGTTTGTATTCATTCATTCATTCATTCATTCATTGATTTATTTATTTATTTATTTGGATAGGGAGGATTTACAGTACTCTCTCTCTCTCTCTCTCTCTCTCTCTCTCTCTCTCTCTCTCTCTCTCTGTGAGGATCTTATTTCTTTGTCGTGTGTTCATTATGTTCATTATCTCCTCACAAAAGACAAAAGCAGAATTTGTATGCTTGTTTGCTTTGCTTCAGATCTGCTGATATGTTATATATATATATATATATATATATATATATATATATATATATATATATATATATATATATATATATATATACTTTTTTTAAAATTGTAGAAATATTAGGATCTAATACAGGAACAGATAATAAATTGAGCCCATTTAGAAACAGCGCCCCCGAGTGGAGAACTCTTGATCTTGCATCTGTACAAGCTTTGGATGCGCGTGTTGCCTTCAGCGCTCCTTCTTTCGATTGTTTTACAAAACAAGCTTTCATTAGACGTAGAAAACTCACGATACAGCCATAGAATCTGAAAAATTATATAAACTTAGGATAATAACGTTTTGTCAAAAAGTTGTCACTGAAGGACGAAATTAATTTACAGTTCATCTTCGTTGCCACGTGAAAATATTTTGCCTGTGAGTCACTCAGAGAGAGTCAGACTTCTCAGTCTTCTTCTTCTCAGTCTGCGCTCTCAAAGTTGTGTGGCTCCGCAAAGGCTGTGGCTGACTCCTTGCGAAGTGTGTTATTTACCACCCGTTTTCAGGCACATCCCGCATCCTGCTCTCGGATTGGCTAGTAGTGAACATATCCTGGAGTTCGTAGTGAGCTCGCTGGTGAATATGAGCTACTGGCCAACCCTAGCACAAGAAGGGGGAATACTAATAGCCAGTTTTAGCGCAGGAAACGGAATACTACCAGCCATTCTCAACACAGTGGGCTGGACTTGTCGGAATACGGGTGGGGAAGGAAAATTGGTGTGAAGAGCCTGTTGCTCGCTCCTGGCCAATAGGGAGAGGCCCTTGGTGGCCTAGTCTCCTCCCCTCTGTACAACGGAGGGGCATAGGCAGCGCAGAAGTTTGGGGAATCGGCTGGATGGACTGTTTTTCTTCTCTTTCTCTAATTTAACGAATGTTTTTTCGGTCACCATGAACTCGTCAAAACGCCTCTTTCTGCTCCACACGAAGCGGATTAAGTTTCGAACGGCGTGGTAGGAACAGTTTAAGTGGAAATATGGATTGAACGTCGGGGGAAAAAAACCCTTTCAAACTTTCTCTTCTCCAGCTCTCTCTCTCTCACAATGGAGCTGAGAAAGCGGAGCCGCTGCCCGGAATGGCGCGCGCTCTGGCTCGCGCTCTGGCTCGCGCTCTTCCTCTCCTGCCTCTCGAGCGCGTTCGGGGACCTCAAGTACTCCGCCGAAGAGGAGCAGAAGCCGGGCTCCATCGTAGGGAATATAGCAAAAGATTTGGGCCTCACCCTTCAGAGGATTATTGAGAGGAACGCGCGTGTTATTTCGGACTCCAGCGGCCAGTTCTTCGAGATCAACTCGGACAACGGCGCCTTGGTCATCAAGGAGACCATTGACAGGGAGCGCATCTGCGGCTCGATCGCAGTGTGTTACTTGCACCTTCAGATCCTCCTCGAGAACAAGCTCGAAGTGCATCGCGTCGTCGTAGAAATATCGGACGTAAACGATAACGCACCGCAGTTCCCCGCGCGCAACTCCTCGCTGGAGATCTCGGAGGCGGCCGCGCCGGGAACGCGTTTCCGCCTGGAGAGCGCGCGGGACCCTGACGTGGGCGTCAACTCGCTGCGCACGTACCACCTGGCGCCCAATGACTGCTTCGGCCTGAGGGTCGAGACCAAAAGCGACGGCGGTAAGTTCCCGGAGCTCGTGCTGGAAAAGGCTCTGGACCGAGAGGCGCAGGCGTCATTCCGCCTGCTGCTCACGGCCGTGGACGGTGGGCAGCCTGAGAAATCGGGCACCACCCTGCTGCTCATTAAGATCCTGGACGTGAACGACAACGCGCCAGTGTTTGACGAGCCTGTGAAGAAGGTCAGTCTTCTAGAAAACTCTCCTGTGGGAACTGTTGTTGCAAAACTCAATGCCACTGACGCAGATTCTGGAATGAATGGGGAAGTGGCTTTCCTGTTTAGTAAATACACGCCAGACATAATTCTGAATCTATTCAGTGTGGATTCTAAAAGTGGAGAAATCCAGGTTATTGGAGAGGTGGATTATGAGCAAACCAATGTTTATGACATTACTGTCCAGGCCCGGGATGGTGGAACCCCCGCCATGGAGGGCTCCTGCAACGTCAAAGTAGAAATAACGGATGTGAACGATAACACTCCGGAAGTTGCATTGACCTCTCTCACCAGCCCCATCAGCGAGGATGCTGAAACCGGCACTGTCATTGCACTAATCAGCGCTAGAGACTTAGACTCTGGTAAAAACGGTCAGGTGACATTAAAGGTGTCACCAGGGTTGCCTTTTAAACTGAAATCTGCCTTTGGGGAGCATTACACCCTTGTCACTGATGGCCGTTTGGACAGGGAAACTGTCCCTGAGTACACTGTTGTTGTCACAGCGACAGATGAAGGCTCTCCTCCATTGTCTTCACAGAAGACATTTGTAGTCAGTCTCTCTGATGTGAATGATAATGCTCCAGTATTCTCGCAACCCTCTTACTCTGTAGACATTGCAGAGAACAATGCCCCAGGTACCCTGATAGTGGCGGTCTCAGCCTCAGACCCAGATTTGGGGGACAATGCCCGTCTCACCTACTCCATCTTGCCCACCAGTGTTCGTGGCAGCCCTGTGTCCTCTTACGTCTACATCAACCCAGAGAACGGTAATATCTTTACTATGCGTTCATTGGACTATGAGCAGATGAACGCCTTTAAAATTGAAGTGCAGGTTCATGACGCTGGGACGCCGTCTCACCGTTCCAACGTCACCGTCCACGTCTTTGTTATCGACCAGAATGACAACCCGCCCATCGTTCTTTATCCTGCCCACTCTGAGGACTCAGGCCTCCAGCTGACCGTACCCCGCTCTGCCGCCGTTGGCCACCTTGTGAACAAGATTGTGGGCTATGATCCAGACAGTGGGCACAATGCCTGGCTGTCCTACAGCATCACCCTTGGAGGCGATGGAGCCTTCTTCCTAATTGGAGAGCATACAGGTGAGCTACGCACTGCACGGAAACTGGCCGATGACGAGCAGGGTGGCAGGGAACGGCTATCCTACAGCTTCATAGTGGTTGTGCAGGATAATGGTAAGCCTCCCAAGTCCACCACCGTCTCTGTCACCGTCGATGTGGAGGAGAAGAGCATGGATGCAGCCACAGACTCCCACAAAACTCTTTCTCGGAAAGTCAGTGGGATGACGGATGTAACCCTGTACCTTATCATTTCGTTGGGCTGTGTGACATTGGTCTTTCTTGTGACCGCTGTAGTTGTGCTGGTGCGGTGTCTCAGACACAGGGACGACTTGACATGCTGCTACTCAAGGAAAGACTTCCGTTCCAGGCATGCCTACCAGCAGCGCTCCCATAAAGACCTCCATCTCCAGCTCAACACGGATGGGCCGATCCGGTACATGGAGGTGGTGGGGGGCCCTCAGGAGCCCCACACACGCACATACAGGCCGTGCTACTCAACCCTCTCCAGCAGGAGTGACTTTGTGTTTGTCAAGACTCCCATGTTGAGCCATAACAACACATTAAACATGACCTTAACCAGGAAGCACTTAATGAACTCAGCCAATGAGGTGAGCGTTCAGCTCAGCACACCAGCCATAATGTTGCATAATGTTCAGTAGCTCTGTGTGTGAAGGGTCTTCCTGTCTCTCATTTGTAGTGTTGTTAGACTCTCTTTATTTGAACTGAATATAAAATTGTTATCCTTGCATGGCTTTTCTTATTATACAGTTCTGTGTGGTGCATGTTTTACATTAGGGGAACTCATCTCTGATCCTGCAGGGCCTTAGTCCAGCACAATTTGATGCTCTAAGATACCAACTAAACCTGATAATTAACTAATGAGCCAAATTAAAAGTGTTTTAACAGGAAAATGTGTTGATGAATAAAGCCCACCCAAGACTGAAGCAGGGCATGTTTTAGATGTTTGAGAGCCATAATGTTTGATCAGACCAAGGGGAAGGAAGTGTACTCCAGAATGGAAACTAGAATAATAAGGTTACAGTACTCTGGCAAAGCAAAACAGGAAAACAGAGAAGGTAAAAGATGGAAGAACAAAGAAAGAGCAAAGAAGACCATAAATAATTGACAAGTAGGAGATTCTGAGACATCTACCAGCAAGAACAGAAAAAAGTCATACAGATATATGAAGAATCAAAAGCAAAGGATATAAAGGTCTAAATGAATGACTGGAAGTGAGGAAGATCACAAGGAGAGATTTTGAGTGATAAAAGAGAGAGATATTTGACAGATGGTAGAGAAAGGAAGAGGAACTGGCAGGCAGAAATGAGTATTGTGTTGAGAAGGAAAGTGGGGGAAGGACAAATGGGGATGGAGAGAGGGACGGAGTGGACGGGGCTGTGGAGAGGAAGAAATCAGTGTCTGAATAACAGGATCCCAGAGGTCATCCTGTGACCCTGGACTTCCTGTTTTGCTGGACACTTGTGACTGATTGATCCCATACCTTTCAAGTCGTGTGACCTTTAGTAATGTGTGAGTGTATCACCTCTGGGCAAGCCCATAATAAACCTCCATGGTAACTAGGCCTCAGACATCCTTTAGTATTCTCCAGACTAAGGAAGGAAATGAGTTTTTTTCAGACACTGAGCTAAAATACTATGTAGAAATATAGTAAATATGCTTAGAGTTAATACTTCAGTAGCCTGAGTGAAAACTAAACCAACTCTTACTTTGCACTCTTCATTATAAGTCACCAGTGCTTTAGCCTCTTTTTTCACTTACTGAGGTGGAGACGTGTGTCAGATTCCTTACAGTTTTGGTTTTCCTGGGTTTGGAATGTGATGCGTGAGGTGGAAATTCTTTAGGGCTACAGGCCGAGGTTATTTATATCCGCTGTTTGTTGAAGTAGGACTCGCTGTGTAATCTCTGGTGTTTATATCATGTTTTTGAAGCAGGAGCGAGGGGGGATGAGCCTGAGAATGGGAATTTGTTTTCACGTTCTTTCTCTCATTCTCTCAATCTCCCAGCTTCTCCCTCGTGTCCCATCGTTTAGTCCTCTGGGAGTCATTTTGGCCTTTGGGCCGTGAGGAGACCATCTGGCTCCTCTGGCATGACACGTGCACAATGTGTCTGTGTGTGTGCGTTTTGCAAGAGGGCATGTGAGCTGCAACAATAACAGAAGGACAGGCCACTAATGGTTCTGACATTCGGAGCAGGACAGTAAATAGTTTTAGGCCTTGTACTTTTACAAATATAATGGGCCCAGGGCCTAAGAGGGCATTGGATTATATTGCATTGGTTAGCCTCTTTTATGCTTTCTCTCGTTCTCCATGCCTTTTTCCCTTCTGTTACTGCTATTATGAAGAGAAAAAAAGGGGGAGGAGCTTTCCGTCGGCTGCTTTGTCTGTTTTGCCATTATGATGTAAACACTGTTGTAGTTTTCCTTCTTCATACTTTCAGCAGTAAAGACATTGAGTATGTTGTACTATTAGTCATCTTTTAGTGTGCCATGTTTCTAGCAATCATTTGCTCTTTCCCCATCCTCTGCTCTCTACCCCTGTGTGTGTGTGTGTGTGTGTGTGTGTGTGTGTGTGTGTGTGTGTGTGTGTGTGTTCGTTCCTGCCAAGACTTCTGATCACCATTGCAGCCAGTTTCCCCTCTAGAGCTGTGAATGTGTATATGTGGCTCGTACTCAGTGTCAGTGTTTAAAAGTGTTTGTGTGTATGGTAGATTAACCCACATCAGGAGAGTGTTTCTGATAAGACCCCCTGCAGTGGCCTAAATTGTGCTGGTGGGGAAGAAGGTTTTGCTGGAGACCCGTATCACAATAATCAGATTAATGAATGCCCTCTAGGCAGAGTCAACTTAAATGGAGTTCTAGATTGTACTGCACAAAAGTCAGCATGGTGAAGCTGAAGTTCTAAACTGTTCTGTGCATAAACCATCTTAATATTCACCTTCAAAAGCTTTTATGGATAAAGATAAGAGAGTTAATAATTAAGTTTAACTGAAAGCAACAAACATTGTGTTTTTGTCTTCTTAATGTTCTTTAATTATGCCATTTCATTGATTTATTAATGCCCTAAACTGTTAGCCTAGAAACTAACCATCCTTAGCAACATTCAAATGTTTATGTTAAAGGAGAATTCCACCATCAGATATTCTTTACAGTGGTGATGATAGGAACCAGGGGTCACAATGTCTACAGCATAAACATTGCTATTTGAATAGTTATCTGAAATTACCAGTGAACCTAACCCTTCATCGATCTGGTTCCTGTCGCCATTGCCTATTTGCAATTGCACATTTCACATTAAATCACACAGAATAAACTTGTTTACATCTTAATGATTTAATCACTGGAATTCCCCTTTAAATAATACCAACAATTAGAGAAAACTAGGTAAAAAGTTTTTTTTAAGTTTCCATGTAACATAAGCATGTTTAATGCAACACACTTAATTAATTGCTTATTGCTTTAGATGAAGGAAATCTAACCCATAAGGGAACATTCTAGAGAAGTAACTCAAGCTTTTTTTATGCAACTAGCCACAGAATTCTACGTTGTTCACATTACTGACAGGTGCTGATTTGAGAGCTGTCAGAACAATGAGACATGGATCAGTATCAAGCTTGATTACAGAAACACTGCAGTGTTCTTTTGTTTCTACTGTAAGTGTTTCATGTACAAAAGACTAGAACACCCTACAGTTTGTGTCTGACAATGAGACGGAAAGCATTATTGTAGGAAAACATTATTAGGGAAGAGGAACTTCCTCCCTGTTGTAGAGAATAGGATGAAGTCGTGTTTTTGGTGGGGCCAGCCAAAGGATGTGAGCAGAGAACCAGCTGTTTTCCATGCTTTTTCCTGCTATGCACTTTGGTTTTGGCGGGAAGTCTGTGTGTGTCCGGTTTCCATTTTATAATTGAACCTGGCACTTCAAGTGTTAACACCCCGTTAATACACCATCTTGACCAACATGTGTCTTTGGCCAGACTAAGACTTTAGTGAATGTTACTTCTTCTAGTGGAGTTTCATGGTTAGTGTTAGTGTTATTATTGCTTACACTCTTAAAACTAAAGATGCCAAAAGTGTTCTTTGAAATGTTATAAAAGAAACTAATATATATATATATATATATATATATATATATATATATATATATATATATATATATATATATAGGAATATATTGGAAGCTTCTTCTTTTCAGCATTTTCCCTAGAGGCATTCAGACAGTGCTTTCGGTTCTGGCTGAGAGATTTTAGCCACTGAGCCACAGCTGTTTCATTAAACTCCTCACTAAAACACACAGAGTCACGGTAGACCCAGGAACACTAAAAGCTGTGATTTAGGTTAACCTGATGTTGGAAATTCTCCTTGTGTTGAAACAGACTGCTTGACCCAGCTATAGCACAGCACCAAATGTCAGCATGTGTAAACAGAAGATGTTTGTGTCATTGTGACCCCACAGTTTCTGACTATCAGTCATAAGCAGCATCTGAAATCACTCCCTGTTACAGTAATAGAAATAGTGTGCTACATCGTGTATCTGCCATGTTGTGGTATTGGTAAATTCCCAAAAATACATTTCTTCAGTTTGCAAAGTAGCAAGAATTTTCTAGTGAATAGTGAATAAGTTAGAAATCAATCATCATGCCAGTGTTTTGTTTGAAAGTTTGTACCATGCCTTCAACTTGTAGTGGTACTAGTAAGTAGACTGTGATTGAGGGAGGCGGGGGAACTCACAGAGAACTTGGGCTGGAGCTCTGCATGTTTTTTGTTGGAGCTAAGAGGTCTGACCCCTCCCTTTTTGAGCAGTGGTAAGATTGACAGATAGGACTGAGGAACAGGGAGGAGATGGGGTGGTGATGGGAATTGTGAAATTGGTCATGGGAAAAGGAAGGTAGAGATTTTATAGGGTTTTTGATTGGAAGGCATTTCAGGCACAGTCCTCCCCCCCAAATTTGTTATTCCATAGCTCCATTTATTTTATATACAATAATATACATTGCACATTTAAGTCTTACAGACATTAAAAGCTTTAGATAAGATTTTTAGATAGGTAGTTTTATTCAATATTACATGTATTTTTAGTGATAAATAACATGTTGTAAATACCTACGTACTACATTTCTTATGCCTCATATTTCATTAACTTCTCAAACATTCATATGTTATACACTTAGTTTCGTATATCACTTACAACTTCATTCATCATATAAAGCCTGTGAGGTGGAATTCATTTGTCTGTAATCATTTATTCATTTGTCTGTAATCCGACCGCTTTCATATAACTGAAAACAGTGACTCTAAACTTTTAAACATTGCAAATGTTCTACATAGTTATCATCATTGTCATCTACAAACTGTGTATTTTTCTTTGAAATCTTGTCATGTAGTGTTAGAGAGTGGGCTTTCCTCTTTGCTTTTCTGTGAGATACAGCATGCTCTTGCCGGTGACCTTGAAAGTGCACAGAGCCGCATTGACTCCAAATACTGATGGTCACGGTGCTGGAATGTCAGACCTTTTTGAAAACTCAAACTTGTTCTTCCTCTCTAGTTTTCCTGTCGATGGCTACAACTGAGAAGAGACACAGATAAAGTGATAGTGAGATGGATCAGAAGGAGTGTGAGAGGGAAGATAGGAGGATAGAGAGAGATCAGAAGGATAGAAAGTGAGAGAAATGTAAATGAGTAAAGTCCTCCCTCAGGTTTCGGAGTGTGGGCTGGAGTGTGGGCTAACTGTGCTTACATTCCTCTCTTCAATTTATAACCTTCAGTATCTACACATGCACACACTGCAGGCTCCTGTCCTTGATAGGAGAAGCAGCAGCCCAGGCCGAAGCCCTGTTTTGTACACATGTACAGAGAGAGGTTATTTGGACTAATAATATAAGGGGCTATATATGAAGAGGTCATGTGACTTTCTTGAAATTGTACCGCTATGTATTTGATATTTTAGAGCTGTGTTTCGGTGTCCAGGTCTAAACCTTCTGTGTCCATATTACACAGATGGCTGCTGACAGTAGCAGTGTGAATGTTTGCTGCGGGTGTGTGTGCAGCAGTTAAAGCAGTGTTTGCTGTGTGTGTGTGTTAATGGACTGTGCAGTGCTTTAATGGCTTTGCTGAGCTTTAGTGTGACAGTTATGTGTTTGTGTGCATGTACTGCACACTGCTAGTCTTACAATAGAACAGATATTAGTTTTGCTCTAATGAACATGTGAGTATGTAGGTATGTAGTTGTTTTTTTAGCATGAGGCTCTAAATAATTCACCCGTATAGCTGTCCCCCGCTCTTTCTTTCTCTCTTTCTTTCTTACTTTATTTCTGTCTCTTTTTATCTATCTATCTATCTATCTATCTATCTATCTATTTCTCTCAATATCGTTCTATCTATCTGTCTATCTGTCTGTCTATCTATCTATCTATCTATCTATCTATCTATCTATCTCTCTAACCATCTGTCTACCCCCATCCCTGAGGTTAGCATTCTATTCAGTCCTGTCACACCCATAGAGACACAGAAAAGGAAAGAAAGAGTAAGGGGTAGAGGATGAGTACAAGAGCTTTTATTCCTTCATAACCACCCATCATCTCTCCCATCTGACCTTCTCTTTCGCTTTATTTTTGTAGTTTCTCTGCATTTTTAAAGAGATAAGAGCCTCTATTCAGAGATGTTTTAGTTATATACTGTCCTTTATGCTTCCTGTCCGCTGAGCACGTCCTTTGCTCTTAATATAAACACAATGGTGGCTTTGTGTCCTGACTGCAGTTTCACGCAATCACTCAATTAGAGCTAGCGCTCATTTCCCGGGTCCAGGAACAATAAAGGATTGTTTTGTGTTACACTTCAAGCACTTTGTTTTTTACTGTGCATACCTCATAGCTGTTATCAGCTTGAAACAGGGGTTAAGTGGTTTAGAATACAGGCTGCATGGACTAGGGAACTACTTCTTCGTGCTAATGTTACAATCAACACAGCCTCTGTAGACACACACATTCAAACTCTGTGCCCTCTTTGCTAATGTAGCCTCAGACTACATTTGTCTCTCTGTGCACTTTATGTCTTTCTACAACAAAATGGCCACTGCCACAGTGAGCTTGTATACTGGCATTGCTTTAAACCATACCTCTGTATCCTTAACAACAGCCTGCTTCCATTACCATTTGTGTAACAGGAGGCCCATGATTTGACCTTACTGAGGTTCTGAGAATTTTAAAGATAGATGCATAGATCTGTCTTTTATTTTCTGTAGAGTTAAAACTTTGTCTTTTTTCTCTCCACAGCAAAAACCCCCTAACACTGACTGGCGTTTCACGCAGAACCAGCGGCCTGGACCCAGCGGGTGAGTTCATTAGCATAGATTTGGATTATGCAAACGCTTCGGATCTGAAGCACCAGCCCACACCCATCTAACACTCAAACATTTGCATTTTTGTACTGCACACACACTAACATACTTCATGTGCAAACAGTCTGTCCAAAGTCCCCCTGTGTTTTTGAAATAAGAGTTTAATGTAACGTGTTGTTTCAAAATATACCATTCACTCCCCAGTCCATGAAGTCCATATACAGAAACTATAATGCCTGTTTTTAATTCATTATTTTTGTGATGAACACTATGAACAGTACTTAGTATTTACATTAGCTTTGTATGAACAGTAGATTTGGCCTAAGCACTAATTTGACTCTTTCTTAAGGTATTATTAAAAGCACATATTAAAAATCTTTTGAATCAAAAGTGGTATAAACACCTGATAGGTTTGAGTGCTGATGAGTGCAGACCTCACAAGAGGATACAATATTTGGGGTAGGCATTATTACTACAATAACACTGTCTACTGTTTACCCCAAAATAATCTTGGCTAGCCTAGTATGTTACACTACAGCAACAAGTAAAACATGCTAATTTCTATTACAAACATTTCAAAAAGCTATAGGTGTCTATAAACTTTGGACAGGCAGTATGCTCCATACAGTCACTTAGCATCTTACATAAAACACTTCTGGATCTGCCAGTTTTCTGAATGTTAGAATGAGCCCAAAGCACTATGAATAGATGAAGAGATGGGAGAGGGCGTGTAGAGGTGCCCCTGTTGTGTAAGGGAGGAGCTGTGTGTGTGGGTGTTGGATGATGATGCAAAGGCCGATGTTTCAGAGTTCACAGCAGGGAAGAGGACACAGAACTGTTGGCCCAGAGGCAAAGTGAACACACAAAAAGAAACACATTTCCTCCCTTTCTTTCTCACTGTTTCTTTTTTTTTTCTTTCTTTCTTTCTTTTCACTCATTGTTGACACAACATCACGCCAGCAAAGGAAAGATGTTTGTAGGTTTAATTATGATTCCATTATAGCAGTGGTTCAGCCAAGTAATGTTTACCCCAAATGTTGTCAGTCAGCCAACATATTTTGGTGTCAAAGGTTTCCTTATTTACTTTTGCACTAAAGGGTAATCAAGTCTTGCATAACTTAACAGCTGTCCCCAGAAATGTCCCCGTTTTTATCTGTGAATCAAAACACACTGGAAAGTCCTAAAAAAGACCTGGTAGCAGAGCAGATGGGCAGATGTCTTGCATTGTGGCAATTTTGTTTTGGCTAACAGAGGGAGCTGGCTGCTGCTATCTGCTGACCACTTCTACCACTTGCTCACCTAGTTTTAGAGAATAGTGCAGTGTAAAACTCGGCCAGAAGCTAGCAAGTGTCAATGTCACCATGAACGTTTTTTCAAAACATAAATGCAGGGGTGGGCTAACGAGACTTGAATCGTACTACTGATTTGTGTAGGCCTACAGTCTTCTTCAGTGTAGAGATCTACAAAATAGTGAATGAATTTTTTAAACTGTGTCACTTTTTCAGCCATCCATATATGACATGTGGCATATGTTGATAGCAGCCGTCTTTGTCTCTCCAAAACTGGAGCTAGCCCAGGGGTATATTTAGGCTCTGACTATTGGACTATAGCCACAAGTCTTTTTGCTGTAGCCACGGGGGTCTTTTTGCTGCCAAAATATTTAACATGAATATAAATTATGGGCTCAAACAACCACTGAATCTTTTGTACTAAATGTAACGTGCCTCATCCCTGCCTAAGCCACTAGACTTAGTGACTTTTGAGACCCTTTTTACTTGGCTACTTCTATTTCTATGATCTTCTGACATGGTTTACCAAGTTACTTAATTAGTACCCAATTTTATCAGTCAGCCTTCACCACAGTTTACTACAGTACAGTACAGTTACCATGGACAAAATACATGAAACTGTAACTGTCTGTTTTTTTTCATAGATAAAAACATTAAATATTTAAATTATATATTTACCACTGAACTGGAAATGTCCCTGGTTTGCATTTCATGTATCTGGTCACCTTATGCTTGAGTCAGATGTTTTGGCACTATCTGAATATTGAAATAATTGTATAAGTATCATGATTATACACTGAAAATCAGGTAGAAAATATGCAGTTAAATTCAGCCAATAAACGCCATTAAGGTTTAAAGGGGCTGTAAAGTGCATCAGTTTTGCTCATAGTTGCAAATAAACTTTGCTATTATGAAACACAAGTGCCTTAACATGAGCACGTTGCCAAAGGCATGTTGTAAAGGACATGATTGGGAAGGCAGATATTGTAGGCCAACTACTCCAGCTGGCATTAGCTATAACAGAAAACACTCTGTTTCTCAAGATTATCACATCTAACTAACATGTTGCCACATCATCCACTAAGAAGAAAAAAAACTTGGTTTTCATCCACAAATCATTATCATCCACAATTGCACCAGTTAGCTTGTGTAAAATGGTTAGTGTTAGAATATTAGCTCATCTGAAGGGGCAGCTTCCACTAATCACTCATTACTGACATGAAAACCTACTGGTTTAACCTGCCTAGACCAAAATATTTTGCTGTTTCTTTTTAATAGAACAAAATGTGCACTTTTTGCTGCTGAACTTTTGCATTGTTTGTGTATTATAAGTAAGAACTACAAAACATTAATATCAGCTGGAGCCCTTTTTATCACCCTTCTTCTCTACAGTTAACTAATATCTGTTTGTGAACTCTTACGGATACTCAACATCAAAATTTATCACAATGCACATCCCTAGTTAGATTCAAGTGTATAATGAGTAATGAATGCAGATTGCATTGTACAAACAGATGGCAATAAGCCTCCCTTACTTGTTAAATTCGTTAGCCTTAGCAGCTCTAGAGCAAAACTAAAGCAACAAACTCCAGACACCAAAATGTGACAGTTTTGCAAGTAAGTATATTGTGCTTTGCTCCTATGGACACGAGTATCTGAATGTGAGTGTAATGCCAAGGATGTGTTGTTAAGGACGTGCCCATAAAGGCATAGATAGAGTGGCTTTTATCGCTAATTAGGCTATCTACTGCTATTGCTAATATTTGCATCCAGAAACAGTGAAAATATATTTCTCTGGAAAATTAACATATTGGTATATTGTTGACTGAGGACAAAAGACATCATGCAAAAGGCCACCAGTCCTCATCATTGCTAGCATTAACTTTTAGCTCATTAGTTTCTCTAATGATGTGACTCCCATAATCATCCAACACAAAAAACCTGATTTTTAAAGGCTATTTTTGATTAATATAAAATTTGATGTTTTTAAATTTTAACCTCTAGTGCAATCATCTAAACATTAAGGCTATAGCCATACACTAATTTTAGTCCATTTTTTCTTTTTATTGTTGCTTTTTCATTTCCTGTACTTACCTGGATATTTGTTCATTAACTCTTATGGATACTCAAATAATCAAATTAGTCTGAATGCATATCTTTAAAAAGTATGTGGAGAAGGAGAGCAATGAAGGAGATAGAAAGCACTCTGAGTAACTGCTCCATCAGTTTGCTGTGTGTTGAGTAAAATGTCTGCCGGCTCTTTGCCCCTCCTCGTTTTTTGCCTTCCAATGTGATTTTGTTTCAACAACGAGAGAAGGAGAGGGAGGTGGGGGGAAGACTGGAGGCAAGAAGGAATGGAAAGATGGAACAAGAGCATAAATGAGAGCCAGAGTAAGAGAAAGAAAGGAAGAAAAAGGTTGGAGATGTGTAGTCATGGTAATGCCATGTCTATTTACCCAGCTATAACTGACTGCCGCAATGGCACAGAGTGCCACTGGGAATACTGTATTTTTATGTGACTGACAGTAACTCACAGCTCTTCTTTCCAATCAGTTAGCAGTTAGCCAGAGGCATTCATCCTCTTCTTGCGTGCCAGCCAGCCCCAATGCGCTCACGCTGCAACAATTTTCACAACAGGCATTACACAAAGCGTTTCTGCCAGAGAGCAAGACCTGTTTGAAATAGCCGTTTGGCAGAAATTAGATCTTTTTTGTTTAGTGTGAAATGTCAGCCCTATATATACAGTGGATGAAGAACTCGACAGGAATACATTTCTGTTCGTTGAGAACTGAGCTGGAAGAGGCAGTATTTGTACCGTCATTTAAGGTTGTTTGACGGATCTTCAAGGAAAAAGAAAGCCTGGAGAGAAAATGTAGGCTTGGGTTAGGTAATGAAAACTTACCTGTGAGGTCTCCACATATGTTCTGTACATCTGCCTCTTACACTATGTGAACAATTCATGATAAATGGAGCAACAGTAATAGTCCAAAATATCTTGGAATAAAACCTTTAGTTAAAGAATAAATTTAATTTTAAGAATATTTTTTCTTCACCTATGAAGATGCTATCTTGCATACAATTACAATAACAGGGCAGACAAACACCAACAAACACAAACCTTGTAACGTTTGCATTTGTCCTTAGAATGTCCAAAAAAGAACTGACAAACCAAATGAGCTGAAGTGAATGGAGAGAGAATATTCTAGAAACCTTCGCCAGTCAAACACAAATATGGCACACTAATCAAGCGTTTGTATTTGGTGGTGTTTGTTGGTGTCTGTCCGGTCAGTAAACTTCTGGCCTACAGAACGCTCTCTACAAATCCAGTAATGATTACACAGCAATCTTTAAAGTTTCACTGTCCTCCCCCAATGCTCTACCCCCGCCTAAAGCAGAATTCAAAATGGTGAATCACTGATCTTGTTTCAGTCACTACACGTTCCAGTCCAACCATCTAAGATGGACATCGCCCCGCAGGCTGAGGTACAGCAATGTAGAGCAGATAGATGTGTGCAAAACTCTCCTTTATTCTTGTGTAGTCATCCCCTATCAGCTTTCCATGCTCAGACTTTGACCCAGTTGTAGCATGTGGTGTGCGTAGGCCATAGCTTTGGCTTTGGTTGCTTGTAGGGCTTTCTTACTACTAGAATAGCAGCGTACGTGGGTGTGCTGGTGTGAAGTGGAGTTTTTAGACGTATCTGATTAGCACTGATATAGAATAAGGCTGTCCTTCTGACATAGTGATTTGGAGTGAATTATGTCTGTAAGACAGGAAAAAAATGTGGTTTTATTTACTCTTGGCAGTATAGACGCTTTCTTCTGGCCAGCAGTGCCTGTGTGTTTGTGTATGTGGTCGACTGTCCGCTCTTTCTGACCGACAGCCTGTTGTCTTGACCACAGGAAGTCATTATCCATCCACAGGATATGATAATGCTGACAGAGGAAGTGCTATCTATGATCAGAGCAGTCCAAAGCTAATTAGGTACAAATGAGGCGTCTTATCTTCACCAATAGATTTACTAAATAAAATGGGGAACTCATGATAACAACAAAGTGTCTTTTCCCAGATCCTTGCACTAAGTGCTAATCTGGCATTAGACATGCAATCTGTCCTCATTTTACCCTGTGTAAGGGAAACAAGGCAACTGACAGAGCTCGTCTGAGATATTTTAGTGATTTGAACTAGAATCAGTTGTTCTGATGTTAGTCTTTGTTAACTGCTTAGATTTCAAACAGCAATGTCAGTGAAATTGTTGAAAAAAATGAATAGAACAGAATCTGATGCTTTGTCATGTGATCATAACGTCTAGGCACATCACCAGCTTATCTAGCTAATGATTGTAGGTAGCTGGCCTAGCTTAGCAGTGTAGAAACAGCAGCTATTTTAGGTTAGCTAGCTAGCTCACTATTATTTGTATCATGCTGTTGGTAACTTGGTTAACATTAGTGTTAGCCTAGCTAATATTACTATTCGTTAGATACTGTCTTTCTATGGTCTTATTATTAGCTTGTCTAGCTAATCATTGTAGGTAGTTAGCTTAGATTAGCAGTGTAGAAAAAGTAGCTATCTAGCTGTTATTGATACCATGCTATTGGTAACTTAGCCAACATCAGTTGTAGACCGGCTAATATTGTTGTAGTTCAAGCAGTGTCTTTCCATGGTTGACCGGCCAATGATTACACCACAATAACCACTGGTTAACCCACAATCCACAGAGAAAAGAGCTGCATCAAAAGTCAATGATATTGCTCTTCAGGACTTATTACTCAGATATTATTGAGTTACTACTATAAAAGTAATATGTAAATTGTGTAGGTATGAGACTGAGGTTTTTAAATATGGGTTCTTGCAGTTTAAGCGATAAAAACTGCTCTGGAAGTAGCAGAGTGAGTGGAGCTGCAGGTTTTGGTTAGCTTGGCCCCAGTGGTCTGCTCTTCATCAGTTCTTGCAGTGCTGGCTCTAAGCCTCTGTCCCCTGCCTTCCCTCATTCTGGCTCTGTGGGTTTATCCCGCTCTCAGTGCTTGGCAGGAGTAATCCTGGCAGCATCTCTTCTCTCTGCTGTGCTCCATTCCAGCATCTTCTCTTGCAAGATGTTTTTCTTTCTCTCTTCCTCATTACTCAGAGTATTTTTTCCATGAAACACTGAACCTTTAAACCTTCTTGTGTTTTCTTTTGCTGTTCTTTCCAGTAACATTTTTCTGTTTTATGTAACATTTTTCTGCACTAGTTATGAGAATGTATGGTGTCCTTTTGCAGCATTTGTCTTTTTTCCTCTCACTGTCCCTCTCTCAGCCTCTCCCTTTCCTTTCTCTAGTAATGTACCGTATACAGATGTGTCTTTTGTCAGTGTGGGTAATTGTCTCCTAATTCCCCAGAGAGAGTAAAACTGTGCTGTAGACCTGCTTTATGACCTTTAAGCTTGTATAAAGCAGGAAGTGAGACCCCGTGAGACCCGGCTTCCTTTTAACCCCATCCTTTTAACCCCTTGAGTGCCAGAGACAGATGTATGTATGTCTTAAATTAGTACTGAAGCCCATTTGCACTGCATGTTTAGCTTTAGTATTCTGAATACAAAGAGTATTTGATGGCTGCTGTAGTTTGGATTATTGAAGGGGAATGTAAAGGAACATGTATTTGCACATACTCACATTTTTCCCCACCTATGCAGCACTGTTCTGTATCTAATAGGGCAAGCAAATGTGGGAAATGTAAGAAACAGGCCACTCCATATGTGTGAAAGAGCTTATTAACTTCACTGGCCAACTGTAAGTCAGTTTGTATGCTTTATGCAGTCTGACCGTTCCTAAGACAAGGTCAAACCCATTCCCCTCGCTGCAGGGACTCTACATCTAAGCCTGTGTTAACACCCCTTTCAAATATTCTACAATATTTAAGAGTGTGTTTAACTCCAAAGCTAGATGGAACTTTTTTTATTTATTTAACTGCAGCAGTGTTGGTATGATGGGTATGTGGGTATGATGAGGGTTTCAAACTCATAGTTTTATTATTTCATTTTGTTTTCTGTGTTCTCTGGAATCATTTTTGGCTAAACTAAAGAAGCAGTTTGCTCCTGCCAGTTTGAGCAAGTTGGCTGAATCTTAATTCACCTGGCAACCTTCTGTTGTTATTAATGGGAATAACTGTAGCGCATTCACTAACAGGAAAACAGTGCACTACCGGTAGTGCTTTAGACTTTAAGAGCTATTTGTCCTTTGTTGGGGTAATTAATACAGGTTGTGAAAGTGTTGTCTCCTCTTGTGTAAGCTCCATTAGCTCCATCTGGTTTTATGCTGGAGCTGCATGGCTACTTTAATCTTCTTTAATGCTGAGAGATTCTGCATGTTGGGTGTAGATGGTAAAACTGTGTCTGAAGTGTATTTGCTGCTGGCAACCAGGAAGACTGCCATTAATGAAGAGTGTGTTCATATCTCCTAAATCTTACCGTGCATGCGCATTAGTGTGTTATACTTCTCTAATGAGGTGAACATTACGGAGATCAGGGCTACTTTTGCTTTTGTTCTCTGTAGATGCAAATTGCTGAGTTTAAAAACAAGCCTTTGAAGCTCAATTCAGTCCAGATGGAAATGCTCTGTGGTTCGGTGAGAGAGAGAGAGAGATGAGTGAGTGAGTGAGGGAGAGAGAGAGAGTCATGTTCTACTTTCAGGCAGCTGTTACCTCTCTGTTTCTGGTCTCATTAACTTTTTGTTTTACAACATGGCGCGGTTCAGGGCAACATGGAAGGTGAACGTTAAATGCCTGTGTGTGAGGGTGAGCGTGTGTGTGTGTGTGTGTGTGTGTGTGTGTGTGTGTGTGTGTGTGTGTGTGTGCTTCTCTTTAGCACTTTGTGAGGACTAAATTTCCATATGATAGAACATCGTCACAATTTCAAGTACAAGTGAGGACCTCTAATAAGAAAATGTGCTGTTTTCACCAAAAAAGCAAGCTCTTTGGTGACTAAGGCTAAGGTTAGATGTAGCACTCATTGGCTACAATAATACAGAAGTCATTGAAAGTCCTTACAAATATAGTAACACCAACATCGGTTAGGGTGTGGGTGTGTATTCATGCCAACATCATTGTGTTTGTATCTATATATATTTAAGAGACTTGTGAGTGTGTGTGTGTGTGTGTGTGTGTGTGTGTGTGTGTGTAAGAGAGAAAGAATAAGCTTTAGAATTCTCTCTCTCTATCTGTCTGTCTATCCATCACTCGCTCGCTGTCTATCTATATATTTGTCTATCCTTTGCTAGATAGATAGATATAAAACGGTATGGATATAAATAGAGAAAGAGACAAATAAATAGAAAGATGGCCAGATAGACAGAGAGAGAGGGGGAGAGATAGATAGCGAGTGAAAGATAAGTAGGGAATGAGAAGAGGGAGATTGTGAGAGATTGGTTAAAGTAGTTGTAATTTTCTCTGTGTTGTTCCTCCAGGCTACATTAGATGGTCAGATCTTATGACTTCACTGGTTTTAACTTCTTGAAGATGTGCCTTCACTCATACACACACACACACACACACACACACACACACGCACACACACACACACACACACTGCAGCTGTGGTGTGGAGGAAGGGGAAAACAAAATGGCTGCTGGTCGCTGACTCTTCTTTCTCTCTCTCTCTCTCTCTCTCCCTCTCCCTCTCCCTCTCCCTCTTGCTCACAGAGCGGCTGCCACTCCGGAGGTTGCCGTGGGAACAGGACCCTGGCCCAACCCCCCCACTGAAGCCGAGCAGCTCCAGGCTCTTATGGCCGCCGCCAATGGTGAGAAACACACTCACTTACTCACTCTCCCACAAACACACACTTCTCCTTTATCCATTCTTCTTTCTCTCTTTCCCCACAAAGCAGAATAACTGAACTCTCACTCACTCCACCTCCTTCTCTACATCTCTATATATCATCTTAGCATACTTGTCATCTTAACATTTTGGATGTTATATGATTTCTCTGTACCCTGTCCTCTTATCTTTTTGCTTCCCCTCTCTTCTCTGAATGTTCCATCAATAAACCTCTCTTTCTCTCTCTCCCTCTCTCTCGCTCTCTCTCTGACCTGTTTTCTGTTTGCTGGAAGGGAGAGAGCAGCTGCACACTCATTGAAAAAGCCTGGTCTGTATTCATTAATGTCTTTAGCTTTATTTATACAATACAAACACATTATTGTCACAAAGAGGTACAAGCGTGGTGTTTTTTAATGTCTTTTGTTCCAAACATTCTTACACCTTAATTTCTTCACTTTTTTTAAAATAAAGGGTTTGATGTGATATGCAAACATTGTTAAAAAAAAATCTAAATATTCATACATCTGAGCTGTTTTGAATTCACTGTTTTTGTGATGTCACAAAAAACAATTCATTTATATACAGTATATCCACCTATTTAGCCTACGACAGTTTAACCCCTGCAATTTACGTTGGAGTTATAAGGAGTGTTTCAGCCCAGACTGTTTTTGAATGAGGGACAACATGGAGCGGCCAATCAGAACAAAGTTCATTTACACATATCAGTCTTAGAAGCACAGTACAGAAAACATGTATAATTTGAAGGGATAAAAAGAGGTTGGAAAATAGTTATGTAAAAATGAATTGTGGCAAAAATGAAAAAAAAAACAGACATTATAGGTGTAATTCAGGGGAAAAAGTAAACAAATAAAAACCCAAAAAAACATAGGATGTGGAAACCATACAAAACCTTGTTGTTACAATGTATATCCACTATGAAACACACACACACACACAAAGTCATGCCAAAAAGCACAACATAGCATCTACTCATAATTTAAAGTTTAGTTGTACTTGGCTAAATGTGCACTCTGGGCTCCATCAGAAGCCATGTTTGTGTGTTTTTACAATAACATGCCATAGAGGTATAGAGTTTCTACTATAGACTGTGTTATCATCAGATCTATGCGTAGCCAATAGCAGTAAACAGAAGGCACGTGTGCAAGAGGAGAGACCCACATGGGCAAACATACACAGTGTTCAGTGTACCATAGTATTTCCATCCTAATCAGAGGAAAGGACAGCTCATTTGCTTACATCATTCATTGTTCTTGTCTCTCTCTCCCACCCTCCCTCCTTCTGTCTTTGCTCTTCCCTCCTTCATTCCACCATTTTCTGTACTGCAGTGACTAAGCAGACACACTCACACACACACACACACACACACACACACTCTTTCTAACCGTAATCACCACATCAGGACAGAACAAATCTGTCCTGTTTCTGAACACACAGTGGCAAACAGTGACGCAGAATCCTTTTTGGCTGTTTTGTTTGGAGGCACAGGCTAGATTAATAGTGCCGAGTAATTTGAGTCATGCCGAAGGGAAAGCCGTCATTATTTCCATTGTTATTGCCTCAGTGTGCTCTTCCAGCAAAGCCTTGGAGTTTCCACACATATGCTTTGCTTAAAGAATACATGACCTGGACTGTGTTTGAGAGAGAAAGAGAGAGAGGGGGGAGGAAAGGGCGTAATCATATAAGATCCTTACTGAGGCAGAGTGAGGTTTGTTTGGAAAAGTAAGATGAAAAGGGGGCCTAAAAGCGTACATTAGAATTCCATTGTTTATATAGAATTCCTTTTCTTACGACTGGCTTTATGAGGCGAAGACTTGCTTTAAACTAAATTAAAAGTTTACTTGCATTACATAATGTAAAGTGTCCTGCAGTTCACTTCAAACTCTTTTGAAACTCTGCCACAGCAATCAGCTTTTGTGAATCAAGTTTCATGAAACTTGCAAGTTAAAACAGCAATAACAAACCAGGTGATCACATCAAACAATTGATTGCAATACATTATGAACAAGAAAATAAAGCAGATGATGGTCGTTAGATAGTTGAGAAAGTCCTCAGTTTTTTAAACAATTATGTCGCTTTAGCCATGACAAAAAAACAAGCATGAGTTTTGTGAAGTTTAACAAACAACATTTTCTATGGCTTGGCTAGCCAGCTAGCTGGGAATAAATGAGTGGCGGCACACTGACAGAAATTGTTTCATGCATCTCACACCCATCTCGCAACTAGCAGTAGAGACGTTTTACCATGTACACCAGCCTAACTGTGTGTGAGAGGATGAAAACAGCTTTCTTTTGAGTTGTTTTGCAGCTTTGAGGATATATTAGCTGCCACTACCATGTGCGGGTTTGTGTGCTGCGAGCATAGCTGAAAATGGTGCAGATTGGGGGATGGTTTAAAGGGGAAGAGTGAGTTATGAGCCAACCACTACATCATACTGACACTAACAGCTCAGAGAGTAGAACCAGATGAACACCACACAGAACTGAGTGTTCTCAAACACACACTCATGCATTTTCCATCAAAGCAGTGATTTGTAATAACCTCCCATGGGCTTTACATATATTTACAGCACTGGAAATTTTCCACTGGATTCTATCCTCCATATACACACACCTGTCCCTTCACTGCACTCTCCAAATAAACAGTTCTGTAAGGCTTCAACTAACAGTTATTTACATTATTACACTCACATACCTGTCTCCTCTACTTTCCCAAATAAACAGTCCTTCAGCTGACAGTTATTTAGATGATTATAGACTATTATGTGATTAATCAGGTAATCAAATAATTCTGCCTTTTGCCATTTCCTCTCACTTTGCCACATCATAGTGTCCCCAGGCATTCACATTTCTGTCTGTGTGATGAGTGATTTCTTCTTTTATGGTCCAGCAAAACAAGGCCATATTGACCCCAATGTCTCCTGTAGCATACTGCAATCTGTAAGAATGGCGGCATGTCACTTTGTTGCCATCCAAAAAAAGAAAAAACATTATTTGGGTACAGCAGTTGTTCTTTTGATGAATGTAACAATAAGAATGCTCCAAATATACTTGGTAAAAATCTATTTACATTAAGATATGTTAAAAGTTAAGAATGTTTTCTCCTGGAAAGTTAAACATTTTTGAACAATGATCACAAGAACACAAGTGCAGACGCTGAAACTCAGCCCTGAATTTTGTGATTTCTGTTAATTAATTGAATTGTTGATGTAACTGATTTTCGACTGATTGTCAAACCTACCAGTGATTTACAAAATCTTGGACCAGAAACTTAACACAAGGTCATAAGTTAAAGACCTCTGTTATACAGCTTACAGCCATAGAACATTGCTTCTGTTTTTAACTAAACATTGTGTTGACACATCCTCTTTTTCATCAATGTTGCCAATGATTATTCGATCCTTGTTGGCTAATCGAAGTGTTCTTAAACTATAGCAATCCACAGATAAGTTTGACTGTTTTATTAATAAAATTTAACTTTTGTGGCACCTGATCAGAGTCCAGATCACTGAAGTCTCAGTGGAGGAACATTGTTGGAGGAACATTGTTGTCATTGTCTTATTTGACAAAGAAGTATAGCCAGCATGATATGCAATCCTAGATTAAGACTTGTGGCAAGCTTTTGGTGTAAGAGACTAGGCCCAGGAGGTATTTTAATAGGTTTTAGTACTGATACCAATACCTAGACTTTGACATTGATTCCTGAACAGTACTTTCTTGTTCATACCTTCTTTTGAATTACTAACCAGAAGTGGGTGTGGCTTAACCCAGAAACATATTGCAAATCAAGTAGTGCTGACATTAAATCACGTTGTGTGCATGTAATTAGACAGTCAGTCTAGACGAAGCAAGCAGGCAAGCATGATTATTAAATTTAGTAATGAATGACTTTTTTTTTTTAAACTCACTAGTATTGAAGTCATTTTGTACTATAAAAGTATGGGATCTCAGTACCAAGACCTACACCAGGCTCTGTTGTCATAAGTATGTTCTCCAGTGAATTTTCAGATGAAAATATAGTTTCTAAATTTCTTTCTTTGCAGAAGTGAGTGAGGCCACCAACACGCTGGGCCCTGGTACCATGGGTTTGAGCACTCGCTACAGCCCGCAGTTCACCCTGCAGCATGTGCCCGACTACCGGCAGAACGTCTACATCCCCGGCAGCACAGCCACGCTCACCGCCAACCCCCAGCAGCCCCAGCAAGCCCTGCCCCCTCCACAGGCCTCTGCAGCCCAGCCTGAACCACCCAAGGCCGCCCAGACACCTGCCAGCAAGAAGAAGTCCACCAAGAAAGAGAAGAAGTAGAGAGAGCAGTAGCAGTGAGATGCTGAATGAGGTAGCGAGACATGGGTGAAAGCCTGAGGGAAGGTAGAGAGGTGGATGGAGAGGGACTTGGATTAGGGGAAGAATATGGCATAATCTTCTCTTGCTTCTTCAGAGATGAGGGTGAGCTTTGGTGCACTGAGCTTTTCTGGATGTCTTTAAAGAGTATAAAATAAGACTGAATGGGGGGGGGGGGCGGAAAAACAGTGTATCAATGTGCACCTCCCTCTGTTCTCGACTCTGGTGGATGTGCAGCTCCACCATCCATTTCAATCCATGCATTAATTTTCTCACATTATAATGTGGCTGAACGTGTTTTATGTATAATACTTTTCACATAGAGATTAAGGTTCCTTTAGACTTCTTGTCTCGCTGAATGTTCCTGAGTTCTGGAGAGTGAACTCAGAAGCTGTTTTATCGTTCTTTTATTTTGTTGCTGTTGTTTTGAAAAATAGTACTTTTTACATATAAGAAGTCATTGAGGTATATAACACAGTACTTTGTGATGGTGATCTTGTACTATTTCACTTGGAGGGAGAGGGGTAACCTGTGGTGATCATCACTTTGACAATGACTATGATAGTAATTATTATATTGGTGATAATTTGCTTGAATTTTTTTTATATCCCATGCATTTCCTAGCCTTACCCAAAAAGGTGTTGTTTGGTGTTTTGTTTTTTTTTTGGTAATATATTACTTTTGTGTTTTGATTTTTTTTTCCTCAAATCATTTTTTCCAGATAATGAATGGTTTTTTGCTGTGCCTAGGCTGCCACTGTTGGAATTTATCAAAATATAACAAAGTATGAGGGTTCAGCTTTTGAGAATTATAATACAGGTAATACTTTTTGCATGATGCAGTTTTTTTTTTGCCAAACATCCTATAAAGTGAAGTGTAACTATGCATTGCTTGACAGAGAACAGCCCCTGAAAGATATCAACTCCAACTCCATTTGTAGCATCAACTGGATGTCAGAATGATCTGTTCTAAATGATTTATTGTGTGCTTATTTTTCAGTTTATGAGTCTCGCTGTCTGACTGCTTGGTCAGCGAGTTACGATGTGCTCTTCAAGCGTAACAATGTTTTTACCATTTCAGTGCACGTTTGACTGCTAGTCTGTTGGTATGCTATGTGTCCAGAGCCAAAACATGATACATGTACTATAACAGAGAGGAACTATATCATTACCAGCTGCCTGATAATCCCTAATATCCCTTTTCGAGCTTTCAAAAACGTCAAACCTGTAGAAGCTTGCTTGATTGAAGCTGGAAGTATTTTGCGCTGTCACCGTGAAGTGTTGAAGAGCTGTTGTTTGTACTCAATGAGTAAATGTTGTTCAAAATCAATAAACAATTCCAAACTCAGTGATCATCACTGACCGACCACAGATTTTAGTTCCAAGGTCACATAGATGAGGAAATACCACTCAGGAGGGCAGAGACAACGTTCATAAACATCTCGAGTTTCCATAGCTCTAATCAACTGATGATTTTCCCTCCTCTCAGCATTTTATTCCATCCTTCCATCATTGGTGAGAGAACTTTACATGTTGTAAATAGATACCAGCCAATATACAGAGTAAGTTGGGATCATGTAAAAATGTATCCAATAAGATTTCAGATCCTGAGCTTGGAACACAGGCTTACTACTGGAATGTGTTGCATTGCTTTTGTTTTTTAGTAAAATAAGAAAAATAAATAAATAAATAAAATAAATAAATAAATAAAACACAAAATGTTCTTGGAAATATGTGATGCAGAAGTAGTAATATAGCACATGAAGGCCAACTAACTCGACTGTAAATAAAGAGAGTAACTTTTAACGGAAGAACGTGACACACGCATAGTCTAGAAATTTGTGACGTTTTTGCATATATTTTTGTGTTCCTTTTTTTATCGCTCCTGCTCTTCCTGTCTGATTGATCACCCTTAAATGAATAGACACAAAAGTAACATCTCCTAACCCTCTGTAACCTTTCTTTTCTTTTTCTTTGTGATTTCTATTGTGCATATGTGCTAGGCTGCTTCTTAATGTCTGTATGAAGAAACAAATATAAATATTATATATGTGTGTGTGTCTGCCGATGCCGTAATGCTCTGTACCCCGCTGTAACATCTTTCTTATAAAACGCTAAGACTCATTTCTCCTCAGTGTTACACTTATTTTATATGCTAATATTTATATTGCTGTTTTATTTTCTCTTGAACACTGACATTTCAAATAAAAGGTTATGAAATCATTAATCCTTTGCTGACTTCTGACCTTTATTGATACTCATTTAGTGATATATCACTATGTCTACGCTGTGATATATTACAGATACTTCTAATGCTACTTCTGTTTCCAATGCCATCTTTCACTTTAACCCTTGTGTGGTATTCAGGTCTGTGGGATCTGTTTTCAATATTTACCAACATTGGTAAACTCATTTTTCTGTGAAGAACATATAAAATAACACATTTTCAATGACTTCACTCTGTTCTTCTCCTACATGGCCTGCTGTTAGTGTGTGTTTCTGTGTGTGTATGAGGGTGGACAACATGGACAGGCTGCTGACTGGCTACAGCTGCTAAAGGAGAACCCTACGCTGGACACTTGTGAATTTTAAACATCTGGTATTTTTACATAAATTGTTATGGCTGTGTTGATTAACAACAATGCGGTGGGTCCACCAGACCACTCAGTAACATGAACACCACACAAGGGTTAAACACAGTGAAGGTTGCATGCACCTATAAGCATTGCTTTAAAAATTATATTACCTGTTATTGTGTCATTGTTTGACTTTTGTAACTTCAAATTTGGTTTTATTTTTAAAGGGTAATACCACTGATTTTTTCAAAATTTATGCAAAGTTTCCTATAGTTTTAACAAACGTTTTTGGACTGAAATGTGTAGTTTTAAATTAATTAATGGCGGACATGTACATGCGGATGTTATAGAGCACAATAGTATCCAATAGTGGATTTGCTAATATTACTTGTATCACCGTAACATATAAAAACTTGTGTTGGTTCACTGGTCATTTTTTAGAAGCAAATAAAATGACAATGTGTGTTGGAGACACCATAACCCCTGGGTTCCTGTCACTACTATTATAAAGAAATGCAAGTTGATAAGTTATCCTGCAATGCATCAGAACCAGTCTAGATGACTGTTTACACCTCAATTATCAAATTCTGTATTTTTTTTAATTGGCGGAATTTCCCTATAACTATTATAAAAAGATGATTTCGCACAGGTCTTTTTTGCAGTGCTAGCTGAAAAGTTTGCAAACACTTGCATTTTTCATGAACACCCAGAACATGGATGACTTCACAACTGGCCCATTTCAGTTTAAAACAAGCTATAAAATATTAAGAACACTGTGTATCTGAAGCATCTTCCTGGTTGCAGAGAACAGCTGGAAATTTAAATCCCTTAAATGGAGTAGAACCTCACTCTCAGTGTTGTTCTATTTACTCAAAGAAGTGGTGTTTTATGATAACTGAAGAAGGAAAAGGAAAAAAAAGATCAGGGCACACTAGCTGTTGTTAAATAAATGTACAGTGTGGTATTCAAGTAATACTTCAGTATGAATTATAGCCTTTATCACATTCAGCATTCCCTTCAAAATGAACTGGTACAACAGTATAGCAGCATGTCCCTAGACAGTCTGAGTCCCAAAACCCACATCACAGCAGTCCAAAGTGCTTGAATGCAAGATGGTAGGGCCAGCCTCAGGACACAGACTTAAATTCCCAGGCTTATTGTGTCTTTAGGTTTATTAGTCAGTACTTACATCAAAAACAATGCACACTGACGGAGGGAGTAATGGAAGACTGGACCCAGCAAAGGGTCTTGGGTATTTAAGAGGTGTTCACTCACTTGCATCTGGTATTTAAGAGGTGTTCACTTACTGGCCACTTTATGAGAAACTTTAATAAAGAAAAAAAAAACTGCCTGCTTTGTTGGCAGGGTTGGGATGGTCAATTTAATATGTGTCCCAGTAGAGCAGACGTGGGGACCTCCAGTCCTGGAGGGCTGGATTCCTGCACAGTTTGGTTATTTTTCTGCTCAAGCACACCTGATTCATCCTGATTCAGTTAATTACCAGGTTTGGTTGCCGTACTAGAGCAGGCAAGTGGACAAACTGTGCTGGACTCTGGCCCTCTGTTCCCCATGCCTGTGGTAGAACTTACTGGTCACCGGTTAAAATTGTGATTTGTAACCTATTTCAAGGGATTATTATGTTAAAGTAACATAATCGGATTACTAATAAAATAATAAAAAAGAAATAAAAAATATTAAAATATAAAAAAATAGTGAGATACAGCCTTGTGCTGTTCTCAGTCTGCTTCACAGTCTGAGCAGTCCGGAAAACGTTTCATCGCAGCTCGATTTTTAATGTCTAATTTACACTGTTCCAGTACAGACCTATATCATCCCCACTGAACAGCAGCGAATGAGTCTGCAGAAGAAGAGAGAAATTTACCACATAGCAAAAGTTAAATTTAGCTTGACTTGGATCTAATTTGTAGAGATGGACACAAGCAAGAAGATATCTCTGTAAGAGTGGTTTTAATGTAATTCTGCCTCTAATCACAACTAAAAGCATAGTTTTACTGTCTTTCTTCTATAAGTGTATCCTGATTATTTAATGTCATAGCATATTCCATTACTATCCTCCTTGTAAGTGTACAGTTAGAGACTGTAGCTCATGTTTCACAAGCACGGTTTGTGCTAGTCATTCTCTAGCCCTTCATCAGTGGTTAGTTCCAGCCACCAGTCTAGTCTTAGCTGGATATTTTTGGTTAACAGACAATTCTCCACCAAGCAGTGACACTGACATGTAAAAACCCCAGCAGCGCTGGTATGTCTGATACACTTGTGCCAGCGCAAACCAATCTAACACACCACTACCATGTTGGTGTCAATGCAGTGCTGAGAATGGTCCACCACCCAAATAATATCGAGTCAACGGTGGTCCTACGATTGTCTCTTTTCTATAAAAGGCTAAACAGGGGCAGCAATAAGAGGACCACAGTCAGTAAATGTAAACCTGCAAAGTGCACCTATACGGTAGGTGTTTCTGATAAAATGGCCAATGATTGTAAGTACAAGGTAGGTATACCTAATAAACTGGCCACTCTGTGTATATTGAGTACCAAATGATGATGGTCATTTTGGACTCAAGGACATCCACTGTGAAAGACCAAAACTGTTTACCTCGTAATAGATGTCACTTCTGTTTTGAGGATTCTAAACTAAACTGGACAGTCAAGGCTTAACTATGCTTACATGTGCATTGTCCCTCAGAAGAATTCGCTTAATGACAGCCTGACTGCATGTACGATCTGCCTGCTTGTCTGAAAGCATGGGGCAGCTACGCTAACTAGGCTAACTCTTAGAGACAAAGTTATGCATGCTCAGCTCTCATCAAAAGAGAGGGAGAAACTAGGCTAGCTGACACAGTGTTCCCTTTCATGGCTGTTTTCTTTTTTTTTATTCATTCTTTCTCTCTCTCTGCCTCTCTCAATCTTGCTCTCTCAAAGGCTCTTTCCTGGCTTCATCTGCCAAACTATCTGCGTGTTTTCTCAGCTGTGAGTTTAGAATACAGATGAGGCAGCTTCACCACTATTGGGGAACAGATCTGAAACAGCAAAGCCCCATACAAAAGGAATATACTGAAAACATTGCAATATGCTCTAGAGGTGGGGAATATGATGATGGGTTATAATTATTGTGATAGATTATGCTGCGATATGCTTTTTGGAGTAATGTATGAGTATTATCAGTACTTCTAGAACACTCAACCACTGCATGTGTCATAAAAAGACAGATTTAGACCAATTATAGAGTGCCAGTAAACAAAAACCAGTGTACAGTAATTACGTAGTAACAAGTAGCTGATTGTATGTCAACCCATTGTCAAGTTATATTTTTGCCATATCACCCACTGCATGTGCTATTTATGTTTTGAAATATGAAGCAGTTTAATTTTTTTCATAAGGGCACTTATACATGACACAGTCCTCTAAGAAAATATTACATATTTTAAAAATATTACATCACTGTTGTCGGAACAAAACCTTGTATCTCCAAAATGGTAACTTTACAGGAGAAGGAAAAAACATACTTTACTTTTAATGTAAGTCAGTGAAACCGGACTTTTTTCCAAGTCATTTCGGGCCACTTCTTTTGGTCCATTCATCATGAAATTTACACGCAATATAAAGGGCATCAGGCATTTTCAAATTCTGTCAAAAATTGAAAAATGGAGACATGAGGTTTTGTTCTGACAGCAGTGATATATTATATCTCCAAAATGGTAACTTTACACTAACATACATACATTTGCCTTCTCCTGTAAAGAGATTTTATTTCAAACATTTCTATTGGTCAATTCATCATGAAATTATCACACAATACAAAGAGCAGGAAAAAATAATAATTGGAAAAAACCCAACTTTTTTGGGCAGTGACACGATATTGGACCAACAGTTGTGAAACTGTCTCCTCATCTCTGCTGCTGAAGCAAAGGTCAGAGGGCAAAGGCATCCTGTTAAAGTAGCCAGAGATGTAGGGTCAAAAGCAGGGTCAGCTAAGTCTAGATCAGAGGAAATGACCATAGCTTAAAACTGACTCTGACTAAAGACCCCCTAAGGGAAAAAAGGCTTGTCTCCTCTTTTCCTTTCATATAATGAAATAGCCTCTGGATGGTCAGGGTGGCAAGTACTCTTTTGTTGGGATAAGAGGGAAAAAAGAGGGGTGTCCATCTGTTACACATGCATAATCAAAGTGTTATGAGAACTGTTGGCTTCCTTCACTCTGGACAGAAACAGAACAAATCACCACAACTGTTGTTACCATGGAAACGTCTTCTCTTCTTAGAAGCTGGCCATACTAGTCAGCAAGAGTATCCAGAGTATCCAACAGAACAAAAGTTCACTAAAGAAAACAACAAGAAACAGGGAGGAGAAAAGAAAAATAGAGGGCTGTGTCCTGCACAGTTTGGTAGTTGTTCTACTCAAACACACTCACCAAACCTAGCAACTGACAGAGAAGTTGAATCAGGTGTGTATGAGCTGTGAGAACACCAAACTGTGCCTGACATCGGCCTTCCAGCACCGGAGTTGTGTACCCCGGGTTTTCATTATGTAAAGGTTTTTTTAAACTTTAAAAAGGTTCTTTACATTCATTTCATTTACAAATATGTGTCATTAAAACAATCCACTGAAAGGCAGCAAAAGTGGAGCAATGC